AAAGTTTCTCTCTCTTTTGTTCAATTTTGTTCTTCTTTTTCTCTACAAGCACTTAGTACAAAGTTTATGAACTACAAAGTTTTCATCATCCTTCGATAACCAAGCAAGGAAGTGACTTCGTAATCTAGATCATAAAATCTACAATTGCAAATCTTCAACAATTGACTGGTACTTGGATGAAAGACTGCTAAGAAATTATGAACTTAGACTCCTATAGAAGTTCGACTCAATTGAACAGATGGCCTCATACATAGAACATGCCATATATGATCAATTAACATAACATTTTTATAATTAATACAAAATAAATAATGTCTTAAATTCTTAATTACCCCCTCCGTCCTTTTGTTAGAATCTCACTTCTCTTTATTATGTGAGTAATAAATATTAGAAATGATACTCTAATAAAAGGACGGAAGGAGTACTAATTACATGACTTCTAACTAGGGTTGTTCATCGGTCCAAGATCGGATCGGATTAGACCAACCCGGACCGAAGACCGAAAATTAGAATTTTAAAAACCGAAGATCGGACCGATTAAGCTAGGACCAAACCCGGACTATACCAAAAGAATCGGTCCAAAACCCGGATCAGACCGCTTTGGACCGATTTAATAACTTTTTTAAAAAGAATACTAATTTTTTAATAATTTTATGGAAAACTCGAAAAAAGTAAAGGAAAATCTACACTTTAACATCTTTTTTTTTTGTATATTTGGTACAACAAGCTCATATATTTAAAGTTTTCTACGCTTATTAAGAAAAATCTTAACCATTATTTAAGATTTCACGCATATTTTTAATAAATAAATCGGTTCGGTCCAAGACCGGTTTATAGGGTATTGGATCGGACCGGACCGTACCGATGATCGAAAAATAAATTTCTAAACACCCTACTTCTAACTGACTACATATTAGTCATCCTTTATATTTTTTTATATTTTAAAAAAAAAAAACCCTACATAATATCAAGCAGCTTTAAAAACACAATTATATGTTCTTTCCGTGTTTTTTTCCTAAAAGACTTGATGTACCAAGCTTGGAACAACCGCCTCTACCTATAAAATATTTGTTCATCTTATTCCACTTTTTTCATCGATCTCTTTCCCCTTTATCAACCAAACCCCCCCCCCCCCTCAAAAAAAAAATTAAACAAAACACCAAGGAGTTTTTTTTTTCTTACAACGGTTTAAATAGATATAAAAATATTACAAACTACAAGCCTTAGTAGCTCCACTATTACAAAGAGAAAATATTAAGGAGGTGTTTGGTTCAATGAAATGGAATAATACGTTGTTAAATATCACCTCGAATATCTAACTAACGCCCGCAAAATAAAATAAAATTACGTATTTATCCTTATAATAACGATTATAAAAATAATTAATTTTTCCTGAATTTCACACTTATACTGTACACAAAACATTTTACCGTTATCTCTAATAGTCAACGGCCACCAACGCTCGTCGGTCAACCACCCCAACCACCGTGAGTTTCAAAATCAAACAAATTTTTTAAATTTTGCAAAATCAAATTCGTTAGACCTTATGGACAACGATGAAATACCAAAAAACACAACCTTAGACGCTCGCCAAAGGCTCGTCGAACCGTACGGAATTGGTACGTCGCGATAATTTTTTTTAAAAAAATCGAAACCTAGAAAACGCCTAGGATTTTCAAATACCCTAGGCTGAAACATCTTAGGCTATTCGAAAAAAACTAGGCGTTTCAGCCTAGGGTATTCTAAAAAAACTAGGTGTCTCACCTCAAACGCCCAGATTTTTCATACAACCACACGGTTGTTCGCACGAACTAAGTGTTTGAACCTAGGACGTTCGAAAAATCTAGGCATTTGCCGCAAATTCTAAAAATAATAATAAAAAAAAACCTTTTCTCCGTCGACGACCGACTTCCCTTTGTCCTTACTCGTCATTACCGCGGTTGTGTAGATCATGAAACCGGAGGTAAGGAGTTAGTGCTCAAAAGAGGAGGAGGAGGTGTTGGTGATGGGGGTAGTGGTTGGTAGTATGAAGAGGTGGTGGTGGTGGTTGTTGTTGTTTAGAGAGTGAATAAGGAGTGAGGGTTTGGAGGGGGGTAAATTGAGGGGTAATTTTTTTTTTTTTTGATAAAAGGGTAAATTTGTAATTTTATTTTATTTTGTGGGCGTTAGTTAGATATTCGAGCGCAACGTTTAGCTTTCCACATAATAATTGAACAAGATTTTTTTATTTTTATTTTTTATTTTTTTCTTTTTTTATTTTTTTATTATTTTTTTGAGAAGAGAAATTTTTTTTTAAGAGGAAAGCATATATTATTATTCCTTTTAATTAGGGGTGTCCAATATTCGGACTCCAGTCCGAAATCCAATACAACCCAGTCCAAATAAGCTATTTGGATTGGAGTTTTTTTTAATTTGGATTGGATTTGGACTCAAAAATTTTGAAATTCGGATTTTCGGATTGGATTTGAACTCTAATTTTTTAAGCCCAAAAAGTTCAATCCAGTCCAAATAATCCGAATTTATAAATAAATATATAAAAATTAATAGTAATAGTAATAGTATAAACCTCAACCCATATAGCATTAGAAAGCCCAAACACAATAGCCCAAATCCGCCAAATCCCCTCATTACGATTTAAAGTTTGTTGTATTTATCGAAGTTAGGATTCTTTTGAATTTCGTAGGACATTTTTATTATTATTATTAATTCGGATTGGATCAGACTGGATTCGGACTATGAGATTTTAATTTCGATTCGATTGGATTGGATTTTGAAAACTTTGGATTTGAACTATAAAATGAGAGTCCAAATATATTTCAGATTGGATTGGACTAGGCTTCAGTCCAATCCAAAGTTGGAACGGACACCCCTACTTTTAATAGTTCAGGATGATTCTATTTAAAAAAAAAAAAAGTTAAGTATGATTTGAATAACAAATTAACAATCCGTCCAACGTAAGAGATTGCCATTCCTATGCATCAGCTAACAAACCCAATCAACAACTATTAAGAATTTCAAAAATGTTAATAAGTTGATCTTTTACTTCTTTTGCAAGATTTTACGGAATTGCTCATTTATTTACTTATTTATTTATTTTAGGAAATTTCTAAACCTAGTACTACTATATGCTTGGGGGCCAAGCAAATTATCCCTATAAATAGAGGGATAAACAAACACAAAATTAATCACCCCATCAAACTATGCAATTAATAGGTCCACCAATTCTCAGAAGATGTCTATTACCACAACCCCTTCCTGCTGGAAAACCACTCAATCCTACCACAAAACAGCCTTTAACAGTCCCTCAAAATCCTTGTGCTCAACTCTTCTTTGCCATAAACCCGAAAAAATCACCGGAAAACCTTATCGAGCTGCTAGACAAGGCTTGGGAGTATGATCCCTCAACCACATTGAAGGTAATATGCTACCTAAGGATTCTCAGAGAAGAGAGATTGTCCTGTAATGAAGGGTTCTATGTGGCAGCCCTTTGGCTTCACAAAAACCACCCGTTAACCCTCGCCTGTAATCTGAGGGACTTGGCTAGTTTTGGATCATTGAGGGATTTTGCTGAGATCCTCTATAGGCTAGTCAAGGAGGGTGAGAATGCAGGAAGTTTTAAGCTGTCGCAAGAGGGTGAAAAGATAGAGATAGCGAGGAGAGCAGTGTGTAAGTATGTTCAGGATCCAGCCTACCGGTTCCTCCATGAACGAGTGTCTGAACTTTTTGCAGATCTCTTACGTTCAGATGTCGAAACACTCAACTCTTGTATTGCTGAAGCCCTAAGCTTTGCAGCAAGAGATTGCCCTTCAATTGACTCCTCGTGTGATAGGCATACCCTCTTGTGCGAGAGCATTGCTAAAAAGGTTTTTCCTCAGGAATCAGACCCGAATTATGGAGGCATTGAAGACATACATTATGCCTATCAGGTCCGGAATAGATTAAGGAAAGAGGTTCTAGGACCGCTCAGAATAGCATTAGGGAAAGAATCACAAGTAAGACTGGTAGGCAGTGACAAACAAGTCCAAAACAGTACATTGTTCTTCATGAAGAAAGCTTACCAGAAGATGCTGAAGACGAAGGACACTGCAAGCAAGTTAAGGTATTACCAGATGATATCGTCAATGTTTCTTAAGACTAATGGTGAACTGAGGTATTTCTCTTCGACTCCGCTCAGTATAATAGCTTCTCTAACTGAAGAGAACATTGGAGTGAAAGAGTTAGAATGGAAGCGAATGGTGCAAGTCTTTTCAGGTACAGGGAAACTGAGGAGCTCCCTTGCTGTTTGTGACATCTCAGACAAGATGAAAGATACTACAAAAAATGTCTGTATCTCGATGGGGTTATTGATTTCTGAACTAAGCAACGAGTGGTGGAAGGGAACTGTATACGGGTTCCATCAATTGCCGAAGGTTTGCAAAATTGAAGGGGAAGATCTTCAATCTAAGGTTAATTTCATGAAACAGCTGAAGTGCACTGAGAGGGTGAATATTGAAACTATTCTCAATCAAGTATTGCAATCAGCTGTTGCACAGAAACTGCATAAACAGGAAATGGTGGAGAGAATTTTTGTTTTCACCAATAAGGAATTCAGGAAATCAGTTGACAGCAGTTGGGGGTGGAATTACAGAGCTGTTTGGGAAAATTACCAGAAGTTTGGCTACGATCAGGTGCCCGAGATTGTGTTCTGGAACATTGAGGGTTTCAATGATGGTCCTCCTACAATTAAGGCTGTTTTCCATAACAGATTGCTGACAATCAATGGTTTCTCGAGAAGTTTGTTTGCTTTCTTCCTGCATGACGACGCTGTTTGGAGATCTGCAGAAATCAAGTCAGTCACAACTGCAGAGGATGTAATGAGAATAACCCTTTCAGGAAAAGAATACCAAAATCTTGTTGTACTTGACTGATGTAAAACGCCTATTATAAATAAAATAACGTTGGTGTTTCAGAATTCTATGTAGTTGATAACAGTATCTATCCACTATAGTAAACTTCCAAAATAACACAAAATTGTTTAGAACTGAAGATTAAATTAAATTATCACAAATTCACAACCACCATAACTAGCAATGGATGATTTTCATGCTTTGCATTCTACTCATCCATTTCACAAACACTGCTTTGAAAAGTTGTAACATCAGGATCAATAACATATTCCTCCAACAAAATTCACAAAAACGAAATAGTTCAAAACTTGAACTCCAAAACTGCCAGATAAAAGATTGAATCATCAACAAATTCCTTTAGCACAAATAAATGGTCAGATGCAACCTTCTCCAAAGTCATCTTCTCGGGTAAGTCAGACACAACGACATCAGGGTATTGTTGTCGTTGCTGCTCTAATGACTGCCTACCTTGGAGATGACTGATCACCACTCTTGCACCTGCAAGTGCAATGACTCATCAACAGTACTTTAGGACTAGTTTGAATTTTTTTCCTTTGTCTTCAAAAAAATAGACAGGAGTTGCGATTAAAAATTAATAATCAAATCAACATAAGAGATGATATGAGATACTTACCCGGTGCACAGCGACTAGCAAGTGTTTTGAAGATCTCGTCGAGTTTAAAAGGCAAACCTGGCAAGAAATAAAGGAAAACAACATCCAAGGGAGCCCACTTGTCAGGTACATATATTAATTCTCCTTGCCAACACTTAACTTTGTCATGCCTCTCTTTAATACATGCAAGTGATAGGAGGGACTCATGAACGATTAGCAAAAGTTGGGATGGAGAAGAGTTGACCAACTGATCAACAAATTCATCTGAACCTATAGAAACCAGGACCTTTGAGGTCTCCACAATTTTTCCAGCAGAGATGATTTGGTCAGTCTTATTGTCATGTTCTTCCTTAGAACTTGTGCTGCCAGATTCAAGGAATGACCAATCTTTCTCAACTAACTCATCAAAGTTCATAACAGCAACAACCCCTTCTTGTGGAGTTGCAGCACAAACTAATGAGTAGCATACATGGGGAGAATAAAACTGATTATAGGAAACTCCAACAGAGCGACGAAAATAACTGCATCGGCTTTGAGAATACTGGTGGAGGCAATTAGAATGGAGTATTAATCTATTAGAAAGTGGAGGTTGTGGGTAGGATGATGGACACAAGAAAGATGAGGATAATGAGAAAGAATTCATGATATCGACGTACTAAATTTATTCCTTAATTGAATATGGCCAGGCTAATGAAAGCATATAAACATATATCAGCTAGATCCCTGCATACCAAATGTACACTGTCTGTTCATCTTCAGGATTCATCAGCCCTACAACTGTAGAAATGTGCATGTTAACACTTCACATTGACAAGTATCCCACCTTTTTATTACACAACAATTCTCTAAGAAATTCTGGTTATGTAAATAAACCACAGGATGTTTAGAGATAATCGATTATCTATTTAGCAGGCAAACACAACTCAATGTAAGTCATTTTCTCAAACAAAAAATGCAAATTTACTGATAACGATCATAGAGCGAGCAGTACACACCCCCACAAAATTATAGATGCATAGCCATATATGTACTCCCTCCATTTTCAAATACTCGCTTTATTTCAAAGTAATTAAATATGGATTGATAGTATTGCAGATACGAGGTGTAATAGTATGTCAATTTGAGCAAATAAAAAGACTCAAGAACCATACTATTGACAGTATCAACAACATGTTTCCCTTTAAATCTGTAACCCATTTCTTATCCATATAATCTTAAGGATTGAATAAATAAGCGAAAATATAAATCAGGAAGAATACCAAGTTCCTTAAATTGAAGGGATACAAGTTGAATTGAAGTATAATAAGTTAACAGATGCAGCAAAACAACCAGCAGCAAATTAGCAACGCAATTTGACTCCATTATCAGTGATAAAGTGTTCTTAACAGGTATATGTTTGAGTTTACATTCATGGGTTTTGCAACAAATTAGCAACCCAATTTGACTCCATTATCAAATTAAATTCTTTTAGTAGTAAATAAATTTCATAATTCAATCCCAACATTAAAGGGGTCTGCAATACGTTAACAACTAATTTTAATACAATAATTAAATTAGGCTCATAATTTTCTTCTTGTTTGTAATTAGAACCAATAGTTCATAAATTCGAACCCTAACTTTACTGTACTGACAAAGAAAAAAAAACAAGTTACCTCAGAAGCTGCTTCAACGGAGGACAGAAATATTAATGGAGAATGTGGAGTGCGCTACAATGGGAAATTGAGAAAGAGAGCAATAGAGAAATATCCGTTTCCTTTTTATTTATTTATTTTTTTTATCTTATTGGTCATAATTTTATCCAAGTAAAGAAGTACTCCATCGGTTCTCTTTGTTTTTTACATTTAAAATTATGCGCGATTATTTATAAAAATAAATAAAGTAAGCACAATCAATCATTTTTTTTTCATTATATTTTTGTTATTATAATTTATTGGGAGATGCTTAAGGTCGGGTGAGAAAAAATTATACGTACCGGTTTCGGAACCGGAACTGGTTAAGACCCGGTGAGTCCGGGCCCAGAACAAGTTCAACTGAAACCAATTCCAAAAACAAGGACCCGGTTCATTCCAGTTCCGGTTCCAAGTCCTAAAATTTTGGACCCGGTACCCATTGGGTACCCGGTTAGATATGAATCATATGATACTTAGTAGGCTAGTATGTGGATTCTTTGTGTTTAACAGAAACTAAATAGTTATCTTTGGCCTATTTTAATTTCTAAGTCCAATTGTTTATAAAACTCTCAAACCCCTATCAAACTCTTAGCCTTCCTTTAGCATTTCATTCTTAGATTCTGACGCCACCCTCATTCTCACTCAACCCCTCTTTTTTTCTTTTACAGTACTTCTTTCTCTCTCTGTAATTTCCTACCTTCTTACCTCTAAAATACTTGTTCTCAATTCTCCAATAAGTAAAGGTTTTTGATAATTTAAGAGATTCTTCATATTTTGCGCAACATTATTTGAGAATTGCAAAGAATGGAGCAATGGAGTATCATATTTGGGAAATTTTTTTTTAATTACATAGTGAACTTGTAATCGTTTACTGAATTTTGACAAAGCAATATAATCTCGTTAAGGTATTTAGAAATTAATTTTGTAGTTAAAATTGCAATTAGTTTTAACTTTGGGAAATAATTGAAAAAAGAATTGGGTACCCGGTCTTGGAACCGGTTCCCACCAGTTCCGGGACCAGTTCCTCCATTACAGGACCCGATTACAACCAGTACCAATTCTGGTTCCAAAATCTCGGACCCGGTTATAACCGGTTTCGGTTCCAGGTCTATTAAAACTGATCGGGTACCTGGTCTTGCTCACCCCTACTAAAGGAGACTAATACTAGTAATACTACCTAAAAATAATGAAAAAGAAAAGGTTGAAGAGGAGAGAGGAGAGAGAAAATAAAACTTCCTTCGTCCATAATACTTGACACGCTACTAAAAATGGAATGAGACTATTAATAAAAAAAATATTTCCGTCTGTTTTACAATACTTGACACGTTATTAAAAATGGAATGAGACCACTAATAAAAAAATATTTTCCCACATTTTCTCTCTCTTCACCTACCCCACTCCCTCATTTTCGTTTATCCCACAATACTTAACACGTTACTAAAAATGGAATGAGACCACTAATAAAAAAAATATTTTTCCACATTTTCTCTCTCTTCACCTACCCCACTCCCTCATTTTCGTTTATCCCACAATACTTAACACGTTACTAAAATTGGAATGAAACCACTAATAAAAATATATTTTTTCATACTTTTTCTTTCTTCACCTACCCCACTCCCATCCCATTTTGTTACTACTCCTATCCCATTTTTACGTGCCTAATTCTAAGTTTGTAGGTGCCTATAAATAGGATATTCCTTAAACCTAATCATTGGAAGTAGGGCTGTTTATAAATTGGTCCGGACCGAAAAAATGAACTGGACCAGCCTAGAGAGGTCTTCGTGTTTGGAAAAAAAATTTTGTCTTCGATTCGATCCGGTCCTAAACCCTATAAAAACCGGTTTTGGACTGGACCGATTTTTTATTATAAATATACGTGACAACTTAAATAATGGTTAAGATTATCCTTAATAAGCTTAGAAAACTATAATGTTGTAAGCTTTTTGTACAAAACATACAAAAAAAGACGTCAAAATATAGTTTTTCCTTTGCTTTTTTCGAGTTTTCCAAAAAATTATTAAAAATTTAGAATTCTTTTTTTAAAAAGTCTTAAATAGGTCCAAAGCGGTCTGGTTCGGGTTTTGGACCGATTCTTTTTGTCCGGTCCAGGTTCAGTACCAGCTTAATCGATTCGATTTTCGGTTCTTAAAATTCTAATTTTCGGACTTCAGTCCAATTTTGGACCGTGAACAGCCGTAATTGAAAGTACATCAAAGCACGTGGGCTGTCAGTTAATGTTTTGATTAAAAAAAAACACACATAATGGAATGTACAGCTGGGGTTGAGCAATTGCAGCCCTTTATATTCTTACATCATCAATCCGAACCAACTTTTCTCCACCAATCAGAATTAAGATGATGAAAAAGAGGACCAATGCATGGTTAGGTGAATATTTCACCCCAAAAATTTATGAACTGCATTTAGCGCTACTTTTTCACCAAAATTTGATGCGAGAGCATGGACACTACTTTTGGGCCAAATTGACTATTGTTGACTTGATCAAGATCGGAAAATATTTGAGCTTAATTTGAATTATTTAGATAATTGTCCTCGTATGTGGGATGTGACTTAGGTTGTATTTATTTAGTTACTATCTTATAATTAATCCTAGCCTTTTATTTTGTATGGTTTAGATTTAATGAGGTTTAGGGTTTTATTTCATGTACTAGTGCCTCCCTATAAAAGAAGTTACTTTATGATGTAACAGAATAGACTTGTTAAGAATATTGAAATTATGAGAGTTTTTCTCTTCTTTGAGTTCTTTGTGATCTCTCCTTTGTGGTAAAATCTCAATCTTTATCAAACTTTGTGGTTGATTAGATTGAAACCCTTGTTTCTCTAGACTACGTGACTAGTGAATCAAGTTATTTTTCTAAATAATCTTACTTTGTGTTGATTATTTTAGCTTAGATCTTGATCCAAGATCATATCTTTATTTTTTTTGCACTCAAAAACTCACAAAAATTCCTCAAAAATAGATATTTGTTTTTCTTTTCACCAAAATTAGTGGCGCATATTTTTCACTTAATGGGACATTTGCAATTCTACTACATATAATTACTCACATTTTTACATCCATAAATTTCAAACATCCTTACTTAGAGTGACATTAAAATTTCAAACACTCTTACATTTAAATTTAAAAAAAAAATTAAAAATTGCATCATTGCCTGCTACTGCTCATGGCCTCAGAATTTGAACTCAATGTATACTGGTTGCCAAGTGATGATGAAATTGTCGGAGAAATTGGCAATATGGAACTTAATATTTATTTGAATATGACACCAACAGATGATTTGTGGACAGATCTCCATGAAAGTCCAGAAAGAAATAATGCCAGCCACACATATAATGCATCATCAGCTGATCATGGGACAAATACAACAGACAACACAAGAGCACAACCAACAACATGAGGGTCCAATTCATCACAGGAAGAAGCAACGCAAGCTCAACAGTGAGGATAAGTATAACATCCTTATATTCCTCATTAAAAATTAGGAAACTAATGATATTAAAAGGGGAACAATTAAAAAGGCTATGCACCATTTTAATCTCTCAAGGAGATGTGGGAGAAAGATATGGAACTCATCCAAAAAAAATAGAAAGAAGAGTAAGGAAAGTATAATCCATGTACCAATTACCATTTGGCAGGAAGGAAAAGAATTACAGCACCACAAGAGGACATTGAAAAGCTTGCCATGGGGGAAAGATCTTGCATAAGGGATGTTGCAAGTATGTTAGAATATTTAAAAATCAACAGTTGAAAAAATTATCAAAAGGGGTGAGTTCAATGCTCACACAAATGAAATTAAGCCCCCTATGCCAGAAGCAATAAATAAATTGGCAAGATTGGAATGGATTCTTGGTCTAATTACGAGGTCATCACCTTGGTCAAAGAATAGGTATTTCCCATGTATGACTTTGTTTATATTGATGAGAAATGGTTCAAATTGTTTAAGAAAAGCCACAAATATTACTGTGGCAAAAATGAAAAGGGAGTGCACAGAATAGGGTCAGCAAGCACACATGGTCCACAGGTCATATTATCATAAGCATGTGCAAAGCCTAGGTACAACAACCAAGATGAGTGCTATTTTGATGGAAGACTAGGCATATTTCCATATATATGCACAGACGCAGCAAAGAGGAAGTCAAAAAACAAAGACAAGGGGACACTGATCTCTGAAGTTATTGACAGAGTAACCAAATAAGTATACAGAAGAATGCTCATAGATAAACTCATTCCAGCAATTAAGGCAAAATGGCCAATGGTACATAAAGAACCATTTACATGTATACAACAACACAATGCAAGACTTCATATTCTTCAAAATGATATATACAACAAGATAATGCAAGACCTCATATTCTTCAAAATGATCCAGAATGGCAGCAAGTTCATGAACAAGATGGTTTCACTTTTATATTGGTACAACAACCACTAAATAGTCCAGCTCTCAACATACTTTATTTAGGTTTTTTGCAAGTATTCAATCTCTTCAGCATAAAAAAAATGGCAAAAATTGTTGATGATTTGCTAAAGCATGTTAATGAGACATTTAATGAGCTAGATTCACAAGAACTCACATTTGTTTAGGTCACATTAAAGGCATTAATGAATAAATTTCTCAAAGTAGGTGGCTTTAATCAATATTATAACCCACATATGAACAAAGAAAAACTACTCAAAGAAGGTACAGTTCTAGAAATGCTAAAGTTTCCAAAATGGACAGTTTTAAAGGCAGGGGAAGTTGTTTATGGCGAGTTACCACCAATATAACAGGGAGAGGGGACAGAGGAATATGTTAATGAATTTCCATCGATGTACAGCCAAGCAAGACAAGCGCGGAGGAACTTAGCTGAAGTACTAAGATCACAATTCAGTCAAGAAACAACAGGAGGTGCAAATTTCACACAACATGAACCTGAAGGGACTACAAATTGGGGAACACGGCTCATTGAAAAAACAGAAAGAGATGCAGATTTTTGGGATGAAATAATTCAAGAATCAAGGGCTACTTATTATAAAGACACATAACTATCCAAATATGGGACAAAGGTATGTGCAAATAATCATGAGGCATCAACATTTAAATCACCTTAACATTAATTCATAGTAAACATAGTAGCACAACAGTTTGTAGTAGGCATTTGGCATTTTGTTTTTGTGTGTTTTGAAAGTG